CTCCACCTCCACCTCCACCTCCACTTCCACCTCCACCTCCACCTCCACCTCCACCTCCAGCACTACAACCAACATCACCACCACAACCGCTACCACCACCACAACCACCACAAACACCACAACCACCACTACCATCACTACCACCACTACCATCACTACCACCACTACCACTACAACCACTACCACCACTACCACCACCACCACCAACACTACCACTACCATCACCACTATCACCACTACAATTATCCCTATCACTACTACCGCTACCACGTCCACTACCACTAGCACCGAACACTACCTTTATCATCACTACCACCAACATCCCACTACAACCATCACCGCCACTACGATCACTACAACTATCACCACCATCACCACAACCAGCACGGTCGCCTCCGTCACCACCTCTATATCCATCCCTACTACCATCAAGACTGCTCCCCCCACCACTTTGTTAGTCCGTGTATTCATCGTTTAACCATAGAGAAAATAGGTAGAAAGTACACTGCAATTATGCACTTCTCTATAATTCAGCATATATAACACCAAGGAAAGGAAACGATTTTGGATTTCAAAAAAATGTGTACAGATTTATACTTTCTCTATTCCTTACATACAGTTTTTACTGTTTTTTGACGAAAACAAATCAAATCAAATTAAATTATTACCACCGACTCTACCTTCACCATTACATCTCCAGCAGCAACAGCATCTACGAATCATCATCACCATCATCTTCATTTTGACCATCACAGTCAACATTTCAGAGCATTAACAGCATTTCATTAACATCTCAAAGCAGTTGCTCGAGCACAATGATAATTGTTTTGAATCCATTGGGTTGAATTAGAAAAAAATGGCTGAGAGTAGGAGGAGGAGTAAGAGGACTATGAATGTCTCGATCCCTCCGTGATCTTGAGAATTAGGGACATTTCTATTCCTGGGATTATTTCCCGGAATCAACATTGTTCTCTCATTGGCGATGAATCTATTATTCTTTTCTTTCTTTCCTTTTTTGTGTTGGAATCGATACTTGTCGAATGAAATCTAATAACATAAAATATAATCAAATAAATGTTTCCCTAATTTTATACAAATTTAATATTTCTATTAAGCTATTAAGCTATAAAATATGCATTTTATAAATATCCATGTAACAAAACTAAATAGCGGTTCTTCTTAATAGTGTAGTACTTCGTGATTCGATTCCGGCATCGATACTTTCGTTTTTAACGTATTTGTTATTAATTTTCAAATCTCATACCGTTTCAAATTTCGTTGATTACGAGTATCTATGGTACCCGAACTTAAAATGCAAGAGACGAACAAGGGAGACAAGGGGAACAAAAGAGAAAATATCACAATCAATGTCTTGTAATACTAACGAAGGTAAATCCCACGGCTCCAAATGGCATCACCTTCAGTGGTAATTTCAAAAATTGTAACTTCAAGATATCTGTACCAAAACAATTGTAAAAATAATTTTGTTTGCAATTATTTCCAAAAATTCGATTTCCTGGCAACGACATATTCATCCCAAGATTTATGAGCACTAGTAAAATACAACAAAAGGTGCGCTAAAATATTTTTAATGGACACTCGAACATTCTCGCGCTCTTAATGCATCGTTTTGATGGTTGTTTGCTAAGGAGCATTTACCCACTCAAATAACAATAACATTATTAACATATAACTTATACGTGACCAACCAATACAATATACCGGTATTTCATTTAAGTAGTCTAATTAAAATTGGAAACTGGATGGAAAGATCCTATCATTTTTATGATACATAAAACATCGATATTTAAACATAATTTTCTGTCGATGATTTCGACATCGATATAGTTTGGTGATGGATCGAAATATCGATGGATCGGTGTTTTGATAAAATGGGGAGTTTGTGCACGCCAGGCGGCAGCATAATCGATCATCTGCGCATGCGCTGATACACATAAGTGATGCAAAATTTGAACTGCGCGTGCGCATAAAATTGATAGTGTTTTACGTTCGAGGTGGCGCCACCTCCCTAATGATTTTATTTGCATGGCAGAGCGTCAGTCTTCTGCGCAAGTGCAGATGCCCAAAGTCATGCGAAACAAACTGCGCATGAGGAGAAAATCGATATGGTTGTCGATTGCTGTAACGCTTTGTAGAGCAATAGGGAGTTTGTGCCACCTCGAACGTTAAAGCACTCTCGATCTTCTGCGCGTGCGCAGTTCACGTTTCGCACCTATTTAATGCATCTGCGCATGCGCAACAGATCGATAGTGGAATCCGCAATGGCGCGCACCAACTCCCTACTATCTGTCTACAATTTGCCGTCGCCAGTCGCTATCTCTAGTGGGAATGAGGCGAGAGAGCACGTGCGCGCGGCGCGGCTGGGAGGGGAGGGCGAGCGCATGCGCATGCGCAGTGGGGCAGCGCCGCAGCCGATGCCGCGCAGGCGGAAGCCGCGCTGGAGGTGCTG